TGTTTACGGTGTTGCATATATGCTGAAAAAAGTGAAAAAAAAGCATAACTTCCCTAAAAATGACCCGATCATGCTGATTTTCGAACTTGACCGGCGTATTATAAATATTCATCAGTTCTGTAACTTTCAAGCCAAAAGGTAAAACGGTTTTCCACTTATCCTGTTTACGGTGTTGCATATATGCTGAAAAAAGTGAAAAAACAGCATAACTTCCCTAAAAATGACCCGATCATGCTGATTTTCGAACTTGACCTGAATATTATGAATATTCATCAGTTCTGTAAGTTTCAAGTCAAAACGTAAAACCCTTTTCCACTTATTGTGTTTACGGTAAAAGTGCACGCCAACGGCAACGGCAACGGCAACGGCGACGACAGACACAGGTGACGGCTATATGTACAGACACATCTGTGTCTGTACATAAAAAAGTGAAAAATATGGTGTGGGGTCCAAATTTAACCCTACACTCCCCATCTGCAATAAAAACTTGGCATCGATCTCAAAAAGGCCATTTCTTGGCTCCTAAAAAGTCGGAAATCTGCGAACAGTTTGAAAAAACTCATCCCTGAGATGATGAAAAAAGTTTTCTGTGAAATACTCTCCGGCTCAGTGTTGCAGGAATGGTTATATTTTAAAATTCTTGTGACAGACTTTTTTTTCTAGAATTTAGTTATCTTTTTTATATTAGAGTTCATGATAATCTTCAAGCACAATTTATTGTCAAATGAATGGACACAGAATTGCATATTTATATTAATACACTGAGCATAAAATTCATATCTGATTTTTTATTACACTAAAACATACAATCTACAATGAAGGAGTTTATAAAAACATCTTGAAAGATACCTAAGTAACACATTTAAAATGTAACATGATTGTAATAACAAAATTGGATTTCTAGAACCTATTCTGCTAAACAATGCAAATTTAAGTAAACATTTCACAGGGATAACATCAACGTCATCAAGACTGATCCCCCGCAGAGTGTCAACAATCATCCATGTCAACTATCATCATTTAAAAAGTTCTTTAAAATACAAAATAACATAGTGATAACATGTCTGACCTCCATGGTTCTTTACAGGGCAGTCTCTTACTAGTATGTACAATACTTTCTCCGCAATGAGAATTTATAAACAGCTTTATTGCCTTGGCATTATTGTTGTTCCTGCACTACGCTAAACATACTTATCTACAGTTCTTTCTACGAAAATATGTATCTGCCCAAGAAACCATGACACATCTTGCTTTGTTAAGATTTTAATACAGTCCCAAATATTAAACATACTCCATTAGTTTGTAGACTATACAAGGTATTCAGCAGATGGGTTGTGTCAATCACATGAGGGGGCGGGGTCGACCTCCCTGACCTCCCATCCCCATTCGCTGTTGCTGCTGCATCTGAGCAGCAGGGCGGTCTCCTAGCAACCCAGCTGGTCCGCCTCCTCCGCCGCCATATCCCTGCTGTCCCTGTGCGCCGTAACCTTGCTGAGCCTGTGCGCCGTATCCTTGCTGTGCGGCACCATACCCAGAGGCGCCGCCATACCCCTGCTGCTGACCTCCGTAACCCCCCATGGCCCTTGCCTGACCTCCTCCGCCATACCCGGCCTGCGACATGGTACTCTGCCCACTGGTGCTGCCCCCTGTTGAGATTGAGGTGATATTCTTCAGCAGGTTGGGTCCGCTTTGAATCAGACTGTCCAGGGCCTTCTGTATACTGGGGTTGTCCAGGTTCAGCCCTACCCCTCCTGCTTGAGCCGACTGCTGCTGCGGGACCTGTGGCTCCTGGGCGGCCATCCCGACCCCCTGGGACGACGGGACACCACTGTTGGGGTTCAGAATGCTGAGGATCTTGGCCTGGAGCTGAGCTTGTTGTTGGAGCAGAGATTTCTCATCGCGTAGAGCTCCTGTTTCTCCTGCTCCCCCTCCTGCACTCACACCTAAATACGAATATAATAGGTCAGGTAATTTTTTTCTTTGAAAATTTATACTTATTGTGTGGATAAAGCAAATAATACATACACTGAACAAGAAATATAAAACAAAAACAATTGGTTTTAAATAGGGCAGAAGCTAATCCTCTTTTTATCTTGCTAAAGAACATTATTGTACCCATGGCACAAATTAAATTTTATGTTTATCTCTAAAGGTTTTAACTGGTGATCTATTAGTTGTCTATATGGTAACAAGCTCAGAACTTAAGACATGTATTTGTCAGATTTGATTTGTCAACGACATCGATCCCCAATGTTTCTGCACGTATGGTTCATAATAACAATTGATTTTATTTAAAAATCCAATTATATCAATAAGTGTGTATATATGAATATATGCATAAATATATTACCATTGCTCGCACCTCGTTTAGGCAGCATTTGGTCGCGCCTCTCCTTCACATATTTCAGGACCTTCTCCAATTCTTCCAGTGTTAACTGGCGGCCATCTGCCATAAGATTAAGCAGATAGGCAATACTTGGGTCTGGAGGTGTAAAATCCACCTTGGGGGGTGGCACTGGTGCCTTGGCCCTCAATTCTTTCAGATACTGCTCGTAGTTGCGCGCGACAAGACTCATGGCATCATCAAGCGGCATATTTCTGTGCTCTGTAATTTTTTTTGTTTGAAAAAGAAAAAGCAGAAACAAACTGTTGATGATGATTACGATTATGCGAGGAAAAAGGCCGCACGGCACAGAAAGAGAAGAAGTGCAACTGTTTAAGCTAAAAACCTGAAAATAAAAAATATGGTAATGGTCATCATAAAATGCATGTTTAACTTATTCAGACGTTTATTATTATCAATAATAACAAATCAATATCGGAACTTTTCAATAAAACATCACATATTAAATGAATACCACAAATCAGCAAAGATAAGCATCGCGTGGCCCAATAATTAATGTTTCGTTTCCTCAAACTTTTCGTCCACCGTCTTCCATGCACAAAAAGTGTGACGTTTCCTGTAACTTTTCGTATCAAACATTGATAGAAACATCAAAAACGACCCTTGTCAATTCCAATGAAAGTTTATGTCAGATTTACTTCACGTCACTTGCATCAACATTCTTGACATCAGTTTCCACAGGTTACACGAACAATTCATCTGAACAACACGGCACTCCATTTATGATCAATTTATTTGTTGATTTTTTAATTGTAAATTTTAAAATGTAGAATGTCTGTTACAACTTTTACATTTTATTACCGCCGCGACACAATTAAAACAATGTGAACATATTCTGGTTCTAGTGCTCTGGTATCACTTTACATAAAGCACCCGTCTTGTTTATTCATTCATTCAAATATGAAGATCAATACATCCTTGCGAGTGGTTGAGAGCTTCCAACAAATACAGGTAAAAAAAGTCCACGATAGAATGTCTCGATTTTTAAAGTTAATATTTAAACTAATTTTAGCTTTAATTCACAGCCCCATTTCGAGAATATTTTAAAATATGAAAACTCTGTCTTTCAATGCCTGATGATGATGTACATAACACGGTTGCGCTTTGACGACAAACATTTCTTTTTAATGACATCAGAACAGTGCTCTTAAAAAATGCACGGTCAGTGTTTTGGTTTTTATATCCAAGCGGGTATTTAGGATTAATTCATTCTGCGCTATCATATGGATTGTCTTTGTGTGAAAATTGTCGCGTTTTCCAAAAGAAAAAGTGTGTGGGTTGCCCGTTTATATCAGAAAACACGGTTTTATACTTGAATGTGGACCAATGTAAGAATGTTGATGAGTTTGCAAAATACGGCTTAATAACTGATACCGTTAGTTTTGAAGAAATACAAACACGTCTTTCGATTAAAACAAGCGGTTTAGGTTAAATATCTGCAGTCAATCGATGCACTGTAACATTTGAGCATAACAAGTTACCTGCTCATTTTAAAAGTATTAATTTCACAAGGTCAAATATTGTCATTACTGTAACAAAATTGTAAAAATACTGCTCAAAAACATCGATCGGCACGAAAATCCTCTTATTTTCAAACAAACTGTGATTTTTTCAGGGAATGCACGCTTTGTTCTGCATTCCAATTCACAGTCACGAAAAAATCCATACTTTTCTCCTCTCTTTGAAATCCCCTGCTCGCGATCACAGAAAAACAAATTTCCCTGAAAAACCAAGACATATCTCTCCAGTACCAAAACTCCTCTCCTACCTTGGGGAGTACCGTGCAGGATGTTCAGTGTCAGAGACCGATGGACTTCGTTCTGACTGTTAATGATGATGGCGTACAGGATGCCCCTGCGCACCAAATCATCGATCATGATCTGAGGAGTGGTGCCTTCTGGGATCTCGCGCATGTCTGTCAGCACGCTGAACGTCTTCAAGCGGCGGGTTATCATATCTCCGTAAGCTCTGAAACCAGAAAAACTGAGGTCTGTGAATGCGTGTTATGGAAAGTGTCAACTAAAAACTTGTCTTGTGCCAGTTGTGGTGCATTTAAATCCATTATTACATTAAATAAACGAGATGGGTCAGGACTCAAACCATGTGTATTGCCATTGCCTATGATGGTGGTATTATAATGAGGAAAATACTGTGCAAACTTTGAAATGACAAATTTCTTTTCCGTAGTAAGAATCTTGAAATATGATTACCTGTGCAGTATGCAAATGGATTATATAAAGTCTCAGGTATCTAACAAACATGTTGTTAAAGAAAAATCTTACACAAAATACAGTAGTTTTCTAAATAAGAATTCCAATGCCTTCCAAAAAAGAGATAATCACAAATATCATACGATTTAAATACTATACCTCTGTTGTGGAGATTTCATGAGAATACAACAGTCAAAGGGGGGTCTCTCAGCCTCAGGTGCCCCCACAGGGGGAGGGGGGTAATAGGGGTCCCGGTAGGGGTCCCTCCCATCATCAAAGGGGGGTGGTCGCCTGGCAACAAGGAAAATATATCTTATGATGATATACACTCCCATACACATACACATACAAACACACACATGCACTTAAAGTACAAAGGTACACACAATAAGAACATTTGTCTGTCAAGAGAAAGATTAACCCACTTGAAGTTTACATCATTGCTTTATTTTAAATGAAATAAGTTAACATATTTCAGGCCCGTAGCCAGCAATTTCAAAGGGGGGGGGGGGGGTTCTTTTTCTGAAAAAGTGGACCTTTTACCATATAATCCCCATGTACCTAGGTCATATTTTACCCAGAGTGGACCTTTTTCTGGCTACAGGCCTGTATTTATAGACACTCAGTTTAGTACAGGTTATCTTCCTGGTATTCCCACTGATAAAACAGCAAATAGAGCCAAGTGACGTAAGTTTTAGTTATAACACACAGAAATTATCTGTGTTATAACATCATACCTGTAGGGGTCATCTCTGGCATATCTGTCCAGGTAAATGTCTTATCTAAGAACACCCATATCACCTGTGTTATAACATCATACCTGTAGGGGTCATCTCTGGCATATCTGTCCAGGTAGGGGTCATCCAGGGGAGGGGGGCGTCTGGGCGGAGGGCCATAAGGGTCATCTAGGTAGGGGTCGCGAGCATAGGGATCATCTCGTCTGGAGAAAAACTTCAATATATGTACATAATGATATCCTTACCAAAGTTATGCACATACTTTATAAAAGATTAAAACCATAATTACCATGACGGAGACCAAAAAATCATTAGTCTTTTTACAACAGTTACAACAATCTTTTTGTGTTAAAAATTATATTCCTTCTGATTTGGCAAAGTTACATTTTTCTTTTTGCTAACTGACAAAAACTGGTATGATGTAAGAATGAATAAGGCATCTGGGATAATAATGACAATAATAAAACTAATCCCTAGGCCTGACCTGTATGGGTCTCTTAGTGGGTCCCTGAGACGGTCTTCATAGGGGTCTCTCAGTGGTGATCTGTCTCTGGGAGCCAACCCTCTTCCTGCTGAAATGTCTCTTTCCCTGCAAAACAGTTACAGTACTTGTTAAAAAACTCAAATACCATAATTCCAGGAATATGAATACCACAAGTGGAAAATATAGTCAGGGGAAAGATCTTACTTTAAGAAATATTGATTTCTGCATTAGAAATCAAAATCAAAAATAATAAATAAAATGAAAAATACTTAAAACTCCATGTCATTTTTGTAAAATAGGTGCTTTATGTATACTTATTTCAATTTTCTGAAACCTTCATTAGCTAACAGGAATAGGAACGGGATTCTTCCACTATTATTGCTCTGAGAAGAAAAACTTCTCACAAATCAGTGGAAGTTGTCAAACTGGGGTAAAGGTCAACCTGGGATCAAGGTCGAACTGATGTCAAGGTCAAACTTGGGTCAAGGGCTTTGTATATATATATATATATATATATATATATATATATATATATATATATATATATATATATATATATCCCAGGGGTCAGTGCTGTGGTCATATTGTGGTCAAGTTTGTCCTTACCTTCGTGGTCCCCCCCTCTGACTTCTGCCTTCTGAGGCTATCTTCACATCTGAGGAATGGAAAATAATTATAAGGTTATATTTTATATATTATATATCAATGATAATTACACTATATAAACTATTTTAAAGAACACCAATGAGAGTCGAAGGACAAAAGGAAGAGTCTACAACATCATTTTGGAAATTAATTACACCATTTACAAAACATGTGGATTCAACCTCATCTGGACCTTTGAGGACAAACTGCTCCCCTCTCTCTGCAGGATACAACTGTTTTGTTAAAGAGTTTCAGGTGGGTTGCTTTGATTTATTTGTGGTATTGTTGTGTGCAGTACATTTACCTATTCTAAATCCTTTGTATAGACCCCCATTTTCTAGTCTAACAGCTTCCCTGGCTTCTTCCTCTTTGCCATACTGAACAAAGCCATAACCTTTGTGTAAAGATGTGCCTAGAATGATAAAATAATAAAAATAAAACACTTTACAAAGCCAGAGCCCTTGTGTAAAGATGTGCCTAGAATGATGAAATAATACATGTATAACACTGAACATTTTTACCAGCTGGGCCAATCACTTTCAATAATACTGACATTTCTGAGACACTGGTTTACAGCAGGTCAAGAAATTTAGCTACTTTTTCTTGGCATTATCTAAGATCCTTCCCCTCTCGTACAGAGAGTACAGATTGTAACCGGGCTTAGTTGTGAACAAGAATATTAACTAGATTGAAGAAAATAATAACCAGTGCATCATGAATATTTTCTACTTGCTTAAGATCCAATATAACTATCTGTGAGATATGCCAAAAAAAAGACAGATAATCAGCTACAAAAGTAACCCATAACAGTCACCCTTGAAGAACCACTACAATAAAAATAAATTATTACACAAAATATCAGTATTTATACAAACTCACCCAATACTTTTCCATATTTTTTAAACATGGTTTCCAGTTCCCCCTCTGTCATTTTATCTGTGGGCAAGTTCCCTATAAAAACCCGGCTGTACAAAAGTTTTGGGTCATCAGAATTTGTGATTGTCCTCTCATCTCTCACAGGTGGTCCACGGGCGCGCTCTCGCTCTCTACTCATTGTGTGTCGGTGCTGCTAAAACAAAATATAATGAATGAATGATTACAGGAACTCATTTCCACCTAGTTAAGCCGTTTAGACTGCATTTTGAAACCACATATAGAGGACACTATAGTTTGCTTACAGCCTGTTAACTCTTTTAAAGCAGCAGTACTTAGAGACAAAACACCCGCAGCCACCGTCCCACATGTCGCGATTACCCTGTGCGACAGTAATCGTTTGAGACTTTGATTCAGAAAAGTCGAAGAAATCTGACAGTCTTCCACCATCGTGTCACCATATTCAAGCTACCTCACCCGGAGACCGGTGCTACAAGAACTCCACTCATCGCATTGATCTGCGTTCCATTCATTTTTTAATTTAATGTCACTATCTTTTTTAACTTTTCTGTGGTATTTTATTTCATATAGACAGTTTTAAATCTCGCAATAAGTGCCTTTTATTTTACCTCTTTTCCCTTTTTCTTCAAGCGTGGGTCATTTTAAGTTCTCGCCACTTCTCGCGTGAATACAAGACAAGCCATTTGATAATATTTCAATTATCTGAAAAAATGATGACATTTAGGTTAGCAGCTGTTATTGCTATTGAAGTAGATTTGTTGTACATCTTATATAAATTTTGTATTCTTATGCAGTGTTATTACAATAAAATATAGCTTATCTTGGTATCAGAGCCGAGTTCAAAGTACACATATTCACGTTGGTTTCAGTAATAAAAGTACAAGTGCACTCAAGTCACCTACAGTAGAGTTTGTCGCGGATGTCTCGACTCCTGCGGTCAATATACAGGTACAACTTCAGACACACTATGGCTACAAGTTCCACGAGTGGTGCTAGAAAACTACAGGTAAAAATTCGAAGGCTTTAATCTTATAATTATATGCAAGTCACGAAGTGTAAACATTTCCAAATGCCAGTCATTTGCCGATCAGTCTGATATATTTCTTGCGTTTCGGTCATCCCCTTCATGTTAACTGAAAAGTGAAATCAAGAAGATACTTAGTGTCCACGTGATATGGTTTTATGGGTCTCATAGTGTGCCATCCATTTTAAATTAAGATCTGGAAATTTATTTATTGATGTTTGAGGGTGGGGGTGGGGGTACATGTACATTGTAGGGTTGATATGGGTTAATTTAATCAGGTACATAGTTCTTGTCAGGGACCGTCATCCCTGATGTGGCTACTGGTATATGATGACAGTGGCTGGTGTTTGGTGGTATATGATGACAGTGGCTGGTGTTTGGTGGTGTATGATGACAGTGGCTGGTGTTGGGTGGTGTATGATGACAGTGGCTGGTGTTTGGTGGTATGTGATGACAGTGGCTGGTGTTTGGTGGTATGTGATGACAGTGGCTGGTGTTGGGTGGTATATGATGACAGTGGCTGGTGTTTGGTGGTATATGATGACAGTGGCTGGTGTTTGGTGGTGTATGATGACAGTGGCTGGTGTTTGGAAACTCAGTCTGAGGGTCTGTCGACTACCCCGGGTATTAGAAGTACCTCTGTTAAATCATATAAGTTCTAAGGTTATCAGGATGCGGTGGGTCAAAATCTAGGACAGGACTTACCTGTATAAATCAATAGGAGATTGATTAACGGGGGGCGGGGTCGTCATCCATAGTTCTCATAGTATTACTAGTGATCACTTTATCATTCATAACATTTTTATGTTACTTCCTGTTTGTTTTGATAAGTCAAGTGACATCTGTGGTTTTTCGTGTCTTCTGTCCTGAATAATTAGGGTTGGGCCTTTACCCAAGCATGGCTCTGCAGATACTGTAATTTAAATATTTAAACTTACCATGATGGTAACTGATGCTGATAACCAGTGTCAAGTTTTTCACTTTATTTTCAGCTGACAGATGAGGTAAGGTTTCCAGTCCCCTGGGGTCATATAGCAGCCAAGGTTTGGGGTGACCCCGGGGGGCGGCCTGTTCTGGGACTTCACGGCTGGCAGGACAATGCCAACTCATTTGATGCCTTAGCTCCCTTACTTCCAACAGGTATGATACTTGTATATGTAATAACTGTGGGGTGTGTTTGGGGGGGGCAAGATAATACTAACTCATTTGATGCCTTAGCCCCCCTTACTGCCACCAGCAGGTGTGTTAGACCCCATTCCCATAGGTCGATCTAAATCTTAATCTCTGGATCGATCTAAATCTCTGGGAATGCACCCTTATATGTGCTGTAAGATATTAACTGAGGAGGGTGGGGGCTGGAGTAGATACAGCAGCTATACTTTTGGCACATCTGATACCTTGCCAGTAGCCCTCTTATCTCTAGCTAGTTTGTTATATGCTGTAAAATTATAATGAGAGGTTGATTGCTAAAACTTCTCTTAGCTTCACCATTTTCTGGTTGACATTTTCTTATGTCTTTTGCTCATAACTTCATTTTTCTCTTGCAGACTTCTACTTCATAGTTCTGGACTTCCCAGGTCATGGTCGTTCCTCTCACAGACCTCCTGGTCTCCCGAACCAGTTTGTGGAGTATCTCTTTGATATCAAGAGAGTCGTTGATGGTAAGGTTATAAATACAGATCTATGGAAATCAGATCAAGAGTTTTCCCAGCGAACCATCCAGCCATCATTTAGGCGGCGCCAGCATTGCCATCACATATTTTCAAAGATAGTTTGACGGCTTATGGATTTTTTGGAATTATGACGGCCTCAGGCAAACACGGACTCCCTGAAATTTTTGAGGAAATTACAGGTGGTAATTTTGGACCCCCTGTAACCCCAATCCTGGGAAAAGCCCTGATTCAGGTTATATGTATTCAAAAGGCAAATAAAGAAAAATGAAATACTGAAAGGTAAAGATTTATGTTAAACTGCTATATTTTGAAATGCAATCCAGTTTGTTTTCATATTTCTCCTACACAGTGCTGAAGTGGAAGAGGTTCTCCATAATAGGCCACAGTATGGGAGGAGGGATAGGAGTAACAGTGAGTAAGATTGCACTGCCATAAGACTGAAAGTGTCGTTGTGTTAGGTTTGACAGTCATTGTGTTTGTTGTGACACTTGTTATGTTAGTGTCAATGTGTTAGGTGTGACAGTGTTATTGTGTTAGGTGTGACAGTGTTATTGTGTTAGGTGTGACAGAGCATAGTGCTAAATGTGTTAGGTGTGACAGTGTTATTGTGTTAGATGTGACAGAGCATAGTGTTAAATGTGTTAGGTGTGACAGTGTTATTGTGTTGGGTGTGACAGAGCATAGTGTTAAATGTGTTAGGTGTGACAGTGTTATTGTGTTAGATGTGACACAGCATAGTGTTAAATGTGTTAGGTGTGACAGTGTTATTGTGTTAGGTGTGACACAGCATAGTGTTAAATGTGTTAGGTGTGGTCATGTCAACGTGCAAGACGTGGCAGTATCATTGTGTTATTGGCAGTCATTGTGTTAGGTGTGACAGTTTTGAAAATATGTCAAATATGTCAGTTATACGGGAATTTAAATGTGACAGTTCATGCTATTAGTTATGTGTTCATTATAGAAGGTTTATTGGCTAATAAAAGCCAGATTCAATTTTTGTGTGTGTATGTGTGTGTCTGAGAGAGAGAGAGAGAGAGAGAAGGGGACAGAAACACTGTATAGAGGGTGGAGGTAGACAGACAGAGAGAGAGAGAGAGAAACAGAACAGAGAGAGAGGAGGAGGAAGATTATGAAGTTGAAATATTTCTTCTGCTCCAGTTTGCAGGTCTGTTCCCAGAGTTTGTGGAGAGGGTCGTGTCTCTGGATTTGATGGCACCTGTGTCAAGAGATCCTGTGAGTAGACAGCAGTTTTAGTGCACTCCATTAGAAGAGTGAAATAAGATAAAATTTTCCCCAAAACCAATGATTGTGTCACTTATTTTTATTGAATTTTCTGAAGGTGTGGTTATAGAATTTTTCACACGAAAAACCTATTTCTAGTGAAAGAAAATTATATGCAATTTTGCTTTCCTTCAAAATCATACACATTGTCTCTATTATTACTTTTGGCACTCTGTGACACTATTATCATTTCCATACCTCCAGTAGAATTCTAGGCCTTTCTCTGTTTTATATGACCTTCACCTTCAGGAAATGGCCCCGTCACTGTTGAGGACGTCTATAGAGCAGACACTGGGTATTGAAGCTGTCAATAAAGAAGAGAAGACATACACTCCTGAGGCTGCTTTGAAAAGGTATCTTGTCTTGTTATTTAACCCCTTGATTTATTTCTTTTCTTAAGTGTTTAAGACCGCATTCTCAACAAATTGAGCCAGGCTTTACAAATCCAGAGACTAAAAATGGCGGACGTACATGAAAGAAAAAACGCCTAATCTTTTAATAGTCTCTCCGCCTCTCACACGCCTCCCCACACGTCGTCCCTGCGGGTTACAGTAATTAAATCTCGGCTCCGAACATGAATATCTCCGTGAATATCTCTGGTGATATTATCTCCGTAGATAGTCTATTCGTTGCTGCTCTACGGGCCAATTCATTCCTTTTTCGTCTCTGTTTTGAAAGATAATAGAACAGAAGAGCTTTTTTCCTT